CTGTCAGCAGACCACAACACAATATCCCAGTTTGTCGGTAGCTTTGAGCGAGTCCGCAACCTGAAGTTGAATTCAAACCCCATTACTAAGTTCGAAATCACGAGCCCAGCGCCTACACTTAAGCAGCTCAACCTATCGAACTGTCAGCTTGCCAGTATCGATACTTCGTTCAACAACATGATCAATCTAGAGAGACTTGTTTTAGATCGGAATTACTTCGTCTCTCTTCCAAATACCATTGGTAACATGAGAAGACTAGATCACTTCAGCATCGCCCATAACTCGGTGGGCGAGCTACCCCCGGAAATCGGGTGTTTGAGTGAATTAAGAGTTCTAGATATAAGAGGGAACAACATTAGGAAGTTGCCAATGGACATTTGGTGGGCAAACAAATTGGAGACTCTGAACGCCTCCTCTAATGTGCTCGATAATTTCCCCAAACCTGCCTCACGTCCGCCTCCGGTACCCGGTGAATCTTCAGGCACACCTGCTCCCAACAAAACATTGACGGGGGCCCTATCTCAAACATCTAGCTCCGAGGATCTAATGCCCGATGGATCTCGTCGACCTAGCCAAGCTTCGAGCACGTTGCTTAGCGTTGGGCCTTCCCCTATTGCTAACGGTGCGGACCGCAAGGGCTCTGTCGTATCTGTCTATGGAAAAGGTGGGCGGAAAACTTCGGTCGTCTCATCTAGAGCCACGACAAATAGTAGCAGCGTCAATGGCAACATGACACCGTCCGGGACATCGAGAAAAGACTCTGGGCTTTCTAATCGGTTAACCAGTACTTTTGCTGGTTCGTTAAGGAATTTATACCTTGCTGACAATCAGCTCGATGATGAGGTTTTCGAGCAGATTATCCTCCTAGCCGAACTGCGCGTTCTCAATTTGTCATACAACGACCTCAGCGACATGCCACAGCGCTGCATCAAAAATTGGCCGCAGCTTGTGGAGCTTTATCTATCGGGCAATGATCTGACCAGCTTGCCCGTTGACGATTTGGAGGAGTATAGCTTGCTTCAAGTGCTTCACATCAACAACAACAAATTCACGAACCTGCCGGCGGATATTTCCCGAGCCAAGAAGCTGGCTGTTCTGGATTGCGGAAACAACTCACTGAAGTACAATATTTCGAACGTACCATATGATTGGAACTGGAATTTGAATCCAAACCTACGATTTCTCAATTTGTCAGGAAACAAACGTTTGGAGATCAAACAGACAATTCTTGGCCCCGGGGCCGTTAATCGCGAGCAATATACTGACTTTGGTCGACTTCTTAATCTACGTGTGCTTGGATTGATGGACGTTACTCTCACCAATCCGAGTATTCCAGACCAGAGCGAGGATCGCCGTGTCAGAACGTCAGGTTCATTAGCCGGCCATCTACCGTATGGCATGGCCGATACATTAGGAAAAAATGAGCACCTGTCGACTATCGACTTAGTCGTCCCGAGGTTTAATTCTTCTGATTCAGAAACGCTATTGGGATTATTCGATGGGCAGGCGTTGTCTAGTGGTGGCTCTAAGATCGCCAAGTACCTGCACGAGAATTTCGGGCATATTTTTACTATGGAGCTAAAAGCTCTCAAGACACGCCAGAACGAGACTCCTACAGATGCACTCAGGCGCGCCTTCCTAGCTCTCAACAAGGACCTTGTCACCGTAGCTATTGAGCATACCGAGAAGAGGCCAATAATGTCGCATCGTGGCTCCTCAGCGCCGGTGGTCCTTAGCAAGGAAGATCTCAATTCGGGAGGAGTTGCCACCGTCGCATATCTACAAGCGCAAGAACTCTACGTCGCCAACGTTGGTGACGCGCAAGCTATGCTCATCCAATCAGACGGTTCACATAAGATCCTTACTCGGAAGCACGATCCTGCCGAGCCTAACGAGCGGCAACGAATACGTGATGCTGGTGGTTGGGTATCACGCCAAGGGAGGCTCAATGATCAGCTTGATATTTCTCGTGCTTTTGGCTACATTGACTTGATGCCGGCTGTACAAGCAGCTCCAAATATTACGCAGACCTCTATCACGCCACAAGATGAAACGATCTTAATTGCTACAAAAGAGTTGTGGCAGTATCTCACGCCTGGCTTGATCGTCGACGTCACTCGGTCTGAACGAGGTGATCTTATGCGCGCCGCGCACAAGTTACGAGATCTTGCTATCGCCTACGGCGCAAGCGGGAAAATTATGATTATGATGATCAGTGTCGCCGACCTCAAACGGCGCCAAGAACGGTCCGCGCGTCTGCATAGGGGACAGAGCATGTCGCTTTATCCATCTGGTGTTCCGGACGACTTTCAATATCCTCCCAAGAGAGGAAGAAAGGCAAAGGGCGAAGTCCAAGACTCGACGCTACACAGACTCGAAGCCGAAGTACCCGCTCCAACAGAAAAGCCTTCTATTGTCTTCACGGATATCAAAAACTCGACCAATTTGTGGGAGATGTATCCGTCTGCTATGAGATCCGCAATCAAACTGCATAACGAGGTTATGCGACGACAACTCCGGAGAATTGGCGGATATGAAGTTAAGACTGAAGGTGATGCTTTTATGGTCTCCTTCCCTACCGCCACTTCGGCCTTGCTATGGTGCTTCGCTGTTCAGACGCATCTACTCAACGTTGATTGGCCTTCCGAAATCCTTAACTCGGTCTCCTGCCAAGAGACATACGACAAAGACAACAATCTCATATTTAGAGGTCTATCAGTCAGGATGGGCATCCATTTTGGTGAGCCTGTAGCTGAAATTGACCCCGTCACGCGTCGTATGGATTACTTCGGGCCGATGGTGAACAAGGCATCCCGTATATCTTCCGTAGCGGATGGAGGTCAGATTACCGTGTCGGCTGATTTCATCTCTGAAATTCAGCGCTGCCTTGAGACGTACCAAGAAGCCGAACGAGTTGGTTCTACGGGTTCCGACGATACATTCGATGATGACGTCACGTCGTCAGCGATCAGAAGGGAATTGAAATCTCTGAGCTCACAAGGTTTCGAAGTCAAAGACATTGGTGAGCGGAAACTGAAGGGCCTTGAAAACCCCGAGTATATATACTCTCTTTACCCGCATGTCCTCGCCGGCCGTATCGACCACCATAACAGCGCTGTAGCAGCGGCCGAGGCTCCTGAGAAACCCGCTACGCTTCCAGCCGGAAGTGATCTTGGGTTCGATCCAGAAATAATCTGGGCCCTTTGGAAAGTTAGTTTGCGTCTAGAAATGCTATGCAGTACCTTAGAGGAAATGTCTGGTAGAGGTTTGCAACCTCCCGAAACCGAGCTTCTAGAGCGAATGAAACAACGCGGTGGCGAGGTTACTGAACGGTTCCTATTTAACTTCATGGAGCATCAAGTGAGCCGTATAGAGGTATGAAATATGAGCAAGATAGTTGATTATTTGTGTTCACTAACTCAACATCCCAGACTTGCATATCCACGTTAACGATGCGGCACATTGCCATGGGTAGCGGTCCTATCCACTCACTCGACGATCTCCGAACGCCAATGGCTGTTGTGCTTGACAATCTCGCTATTCAAATGGCCGAGCTCGAGAGGTATAAAGCCAAATTTGGGGACCTCCCCTCCGACAGCGAAGACGAAAGCAGCATCGACGAGGACTGAATCTAGCTAGCCACACCTTCAGTACCTCTTACGCGCTTTCATTCCCCTGTATTATATTACACCCCGCTGTTTATTTCTTGCTTCTTCTGCATCATTATCACCCTACGTTTTTACTCCACGCATTCGACGGCAATACGACGCCCATCCTATATACAATAAATCCCTTGTAATGTGCTATGACGAAGATATCATTACGACTACTTCCGATGGAGTAGGTGTTATTTGTTTTGCTTTTCTGCTTTTTCAAGGCTTGCGCTAGCGACTAGCTATATGTCAACAATGGCGTCCTATCAGCATCTCAAAATTCAAACGGCAGAGCTCCTGATTGGCTACACCCTAGCGCCTGCGAGTTGCCCTACTGCGCTGAGTTTCTTGGAATATCCGAAAATGGTGTTGTTTTGTTTAGATGTGGAAGTCCTCCCTATTACTGCTGGGCGTGGCACTCGTTGGGAGTTTACAGGCATAATTAACCGCGCCGTCACCTGTCTAAATTCGCACAGGCGGTCGCGAGCTGGCGTTATCATCATCATATCTCGGGAGGGCAGTTGGGAAACTGCGTACTGGAAATACGGGAAAGCCAAGGGAGGACGGGTTCATTCCCTCTCGTTTTTTAAAGTATTTTTGTTTTTATCATTTTTTGGCAACGGGAATGCCGACGCCACCGTCCTCTCAGAGAGGTTCGATGCGTTGTTTCGGCTTGGTGGCTGGCCGGCTGGCTCCTTTTTTATATCTTACCCCGCGCTCCAATACAGTATGCTTGCGTACGCTTGTATTACGACGAGTTTGCCTCGAGTAGGTAGCTGGATAGGCACAACCCCGAACTCCGTAGCCCTCCGCAGGGCTTACCGGTTGGGGTCCGTCGATGGAATGATGACGTTGATTTACATACTGACTGCTTTTGTGTCCCGAGATGTGTGTGAGCGAGTGATTTGAGGGACGTGCCGTTGATATCTGATGTGTATGTGCTATGTTGGCAAGAATGTCACTCGTGAAAGGCTAGTACTGTTGACTAAGGCAGATTGAGCGATGAGCAGTTCAAATTAGATGGTGGTGATACTTATGAATATATGATAATACATACATGTGCAATTATACCTATTTACTATTGCCTTCAATTACATCTAGAAGCCATGTTACAAGTAATCCTCTTTTTTCCCCAACTAATCTCACGATCCTCGAGCCTTGAGGTGACACCACAGGATGACATGACAGCCGTGAAACGAAATACGGAATTGCCATATTTTAGTAAAAAATCATGTACAAACGGAAGTTTACAAGGCAAACGAGGATGACAGGAATCCCGGGTATATGGCACCTTAAAATCTGGGCCGACGTGCAAAAAAAATAAGAGAAGCTGGGGAAAAAAATATATGCACCCACCGGGATTCGCACCCGGGTCTTTCCCTCACTCATGTCCTGACCAAGCAAGACCATGGGAGGAGAATGAGCTCAAACTACTGCTCCATAGGTGTCTCATGAACAAGAACGTGGAATATGTATGTCCAAACCATTGACAAATTTGTCTTATAAACCTGCCGGTCGGTTTGACGCCGGATAACCGGCCGGAGGAAGGGTCGTGTCTCGGATGCGTACGGGCTGTCTTCTTTCCCTAAGCCCCTATCCGGCAAGCACGATGATAGCCTTGTAGGTCAATCTTTGATGACGTAGTGATAATTCCATGCATTTGTCAACAGTTCACTTTTCTCAGTTCCTATCTACTCATGTCTACATACCTGCCTTTCTTACTCCACATATATCGTTACAAGTCTTAGAAATATGGAGGTTCTATCCGATGTTTGGGCAAACAGCACTACCTTACATAGCCTTGGAGCCCCGGCTATGTACCTAAGGGGCAAAGAACATCACATAACTCACATGCAGACAGCTTCACTTGAGTGGATACAGACGTACTATTAGCATGAAACAGCAAACAGGATATTTGAACCCTTTCCTTGTCATTTAATTCCATATATAACGAGTGATGCTATGCTACGCTATGCTGACTGAATTATTCCAATCCCCTACACGTTGCGGGGTTACAAGTTAGGGGGTATATCGATTTTGTATCTCAAACCATATGTCAATCAAAAACTCCTGCTTTATGTCGTTCCCAACGTACATGATAGATAGATACTGTATGTAGAAATCATATAACTGTCATCCAATCGGGTAGGGTCGGGCGTTGCCTGGGGTTAGATGGAACCGGCTTTGTCCAATCCCCCAATGTTGGTTGCTTTCCCCGTCCCGCTCAGCCTTGCCACGTCACTCGTACACACAGAGATGCCATAACCAAACACTATTCATCCCACCCTGTAAAATACAATCAAAAAGCCTCAAAACTTGCGAAACCCTAAACAAGGACAAAATCCAATGTAGGGGAACTGGTGTCCCTAAGGATATACGACAATGATGAGAGCCAATCCAAAGAATGGTACAAGCTCGAACAATGTTTAATCGAGCAACGAATTGAGCAGAGACACATCTGAGATATAACTCCAACAGCCAATTGGGGGGCCGTGCCCCGCCAGCCAAAAAATATGAACGCTTAAGCGCCAGTGAGCTTCTTCCACCAGCTGCTTCGAGGTGTCGCGTCAGTAAAGACGGCCTCACGCGGCCCTCCAGCCCCACCGCTACCATCCGAACCGCCTACACGACGATCTCTGCGGTCCCGCTCCTCGCGGCGGTCTCGTTCTTCACGACGATCACGGTCTTCACGGCGTGCACGGCGACGTCTTCGGTCTTCGTCTACCTCGACCTCGGCGTCGCCGTACTTTGCGCGGCGACGAGCGGCTCTGCGAGCAGCCCGACGGGCATCCTCGTCATCTTCCACCGGAGGCGGGTCATTAACAGGGCCACCATCCTCGGGGGGCGGTCCAGCATCGGAGTGCTCCTTTACCCAAGAATCCGTACCTGAGTGCGGCCAAGCGGCCGGTTTGCCTCGCCTACGTTCGTCGACCGCGAATCGCGAAGTTCTTTCTTGGGGATAGACGTATTCATCGGCCGGCATCGTGCGTCTTCGACTAACTTTTTCCTCGGCGCGTCTGGCTTCGTGTCTTCTGCGTCTACGCTCCTCCTCATCTTCAGAAGCTTCGGCGTACCGCGCTCGTCGCCGTTCAGCCTTAGCTGCGCGACGAGCCTCAGCCTCTGCTTCTTCGGCGGCGGCAGCTTCTTTTTCAAGCCTGCGTTGACGACGCCTTTCTGCCCTCTCGGCGTCTTTAGCTTCAGCAGCAAGACGTTCCGCCTCGCGTTCACGGGCGGCTCTACGTTCGGCTCGTCGAGCCTCGCGCTCAGCTTGTTTGCGTGCTTCAGCTTCATCCTCTTGTCTTCTACGCCTTTCACGTCTCTCTTCCTCTTTTGCAAGACGCGCTTCTTCGGCAGCCTTTTCTTCGGCTCTTCTTTGGCGGCGAGCTGCACGACGAGCTTCCCTCTCTTCGTCTACTGGGTCGACTTCCGTAGCACGATAATCTCGGGCATCCCGGGTATCACGTACAGATCGCCTAAGCCTCTTATCAGGCCTAACTTCATCATCTGTAGTATAGTATGTACTTCGGCGACGTGGAGCCTCGGGACGCGCTTCGGAGCGTGGGGTCTTGAGCCCTCCAAAGAGGCCAGCGAGTCCTTTCTTGGCGCTCGAGTTCGATCGTTTAAGAGGTGTCGGTTCGGCAGGATATTCATCGGCCATGATAACGTCCTCCTCAAGTCTCACCTGCTTTGAATTAGCGACGTCGTATTTTGTGACAGGGTGCGTCTTTACCTTTGTTCGCCTGCGAGCTGGCTTTTCGGGGCTTGAGGGTGGTTCGGCAGCTCCGACCATGACGATATCCTCATCGTCTGGAGCATGTGGATTAGAGCTCTTGCGAACGCGAGTCCTTTGGTTCTTATCAACTCCAAAGATTTTGGCGGCCTTAGAGGACATTGCAGGTATATCTTCGGGCGGAGGCGACACTAGACCACTTGTCATCTCGGCTGAAAAGCGACGCGAACTTGATTTGCTCATGGGAGGGCGCTTCTCTCTGGTCGACATGGAGCGAGAAATAGGCGGGGTGCTTTGAAATAAGCTGTTTGTGCGCTGAGGCGGCTTAGGAATTGATGCAGATTTCTTTTCTCGGTGTTCCTCCATCCTGTTATCCCTATCGGAAGACGAACCCTTAGAAGAGGATGACTTGTCTTTTTCTTTCTCTCTTCTAGATCTCTTCTCTTCAGATCTTGGCTTAGGCTTCTTCTCTTCCTTGCGAGGTGTCGCGGACCACATTCCCCAGGATGCGCCTGCATCGCGACTGATTTTTGGTCGCTCTTTTCTAGATCTATGCTCTGGAGGAGGCGTTGGGGGCGCTTCGGGCTCTTCGGGCTCCTCTTCCGGTGCAGCTGGTGGGGGAATAGGTACCTCAGGCGGCGGGGGTGGAATAGAAACGACAGGAGGTGGAGGGGGTATCTCTACAGCCTTAGACTTGCTTTTCTTGCTCTTCTTTTTCTTTTCTACAGGCGCCATATCAACGATTTCAACGATTTCGTTCTCGTCCTGTTCATCCGGGAATGCTCCAGGAAGTAGGTCTTTGGATGACCTTTCTTCGGAGGATGGCGCGACAGGAACACGTGGTTTCGGCGGCGGAGCAGCCAGCGCATCAATCAGATCATCGTCTTCATCCTCTTTGGCTGGCTCGAATTTCTTTAGTCTCTCGGAAAGTTTGTTGCCTTTAGTCCTTGTCTTTTTAGGCTTCGTCCAATCGTCGTCAGTTGTGGTAGCCTTGTAGGAGGATGGCGCATCCTCGACTGGCGCATCTTCGGCGGACTTTGATGACTCAGCACATCTAATTTCGCTTGTCTTAGATCTCTCAGTATTACTTACCTGATCGGGCAACGGGCTCTTAGGCTTGGCCCTGGAACCCCAAAATGAAAACGGGTCCGATTTCACGGTACCTATACCTATAACAGGTGGGGGTGGGGGTGACGGCTTAGGAGGAGATGCGAAACCTGATAAGAGCTCGTCTACTTGTTCGGGGGCCAAGTCGAGATTGTCAAGATCGAGGTCGTCGTCGTCGTCATCGAAGCTTTTGCGATTCTCTTTTTCCTTCTCTTCTCTTTCTCGTTCTTCTCTTTCCCTCTCTTCTCTTTCTTTTTCTTCCCTCTCTCTTCGTTCCTTCTCCCTTAGCTCCCTCTTAGAAAGCTTCTCCTTTTCCTTTTCCTTACTGCTAGACTTAGACTTCTTTTCTTCGGCCTTGGAACTCTTTTTGGACTTCTTCTTGGCGGCGGCCTCTGCCTCTTCGCGTTCACGCTTGGCTTGTTCTTCAGCTTCGCGAGCCGCCTCTTCGGCTTCCCGGGCGGCTTGTTCCTCTGCTTCCCGCGCAGCCTCTTCTTCCGCTACCCGTGCCGCCTCTTCCTCAGCCTCTCGCGCTGCTAACTCCTCTGCTTCCTTATCCTCTTCGTCATCCTCATCTTCATCCTCATCCTCCTGCGAGGCTTTGTCTGCTTCAAGAGCGGCCTTCTCATCGGCACGAGCCTTGGATTTCGCAAGAAGCTCGTCGAGCCTCTTCTGATCATTCTTAGTGAACTTCTTCTTTCTCTTGCTCTTAGCTGTTAGCAATTCAATTTCTTCCTCCTCGGCGGCAATTTCAGCTTCAAGAGCTTCTGCGGCGGCTTTTTCTTCTGCCTGGCGAGCTTCCGCAGCAGCCTTTTCTTCCGCTTCCAAAGCTTCAGCTGCTGCTCTTTCCTCGGCTTCTCGTCGCTCGGCCTCCTCAGCTTCCTTAGCAGCCTTCTCTTTAGCGCGTCGTTTGGATTTCTCAGTGAGCTCATCAAATCTTTTTTGATCAGATTTGCCTAACTTCTTCTTTTTCTTACTCTTAGCCTTCAAGGCTTCGAGTTCTTCCTCCTCAGCAGCAATTTCGGCTTCCAACGCTGCTGCCTCGGCTGCTGCCTTTTCTTCGTCTTCCGCATTCGCATCATCCCAGACATTTTCTTCCAGTTCTTGACCGGACAGGCTCATCGCCAAAGAGGGGGGCGTAGGCGCCGGAGGTGGGGATGTCTTATTGCCTTTATTTAAGCCTCCCCATCCCCAATCATCATCTAGTCCTTTACCCTCTTCAACAGAATCGGGCTTGACACCATTCAGGTGAGAGCCATTTTCAATCTCGACGGGAACATTCTTGCTTCCCTTCTTCTTCTTGTCCTTCTTCGAGCTAGGGGCAAGACCCCAAATGTCATCGTTCTTGGGTTCCTCGATTGAATCAGGCATAAGATTGTTTTGAGATTTGTCCTTATCGGCGCCGAAGCTGCCCCAGAAGTCGTCTCCGTCCGCAGCGTTGGGCGCCTCAGGCACAGCGGGGGGTGGATCTTCGTGATCGTCTGATTCTTTGTCTAGTTCTACTAGAGCAGTCGAATTCTTGAGGTTCTTCTTATTATTCCAACCCAACCAGCCCTCATTCTCATTTTCTTCGATCGGCGGAGGCGGAGGTTCCTCCTTCTTCTTGGCAGGTTT